CCCTTCCTTGTGGTGCTCACACTCCAGTGCAGGAGATAGATAATAAGCAGAATCTGGGGAGTGGTATTACAATTTCATTGTATAAATATGACACCATTTGCTGAGGACTGAATTGTACATTATGTAGATTTCATCCCCGCCCCTTTTATATACCTGGGTTTATTCTATGTAAATAACTTAGATATTGCCACTGCCATGGTTGGTACTATGTAGAAGAGGATTTGATTGTGGGAGCATTTTAATGGATAATTTAGTAGCAGTTAACAATACATGAAGTCCACAGATAATAGAGGCACGTGGACTATGAACAAGGACCAGATCAAGGTGCTGGAAATAAGAATTATAAATAAGAATAATATCACCTTGTGATATTATTGTGGTCTTGGCGGTCTTGGTCAAGAATTCAAGTGTTCCTACCAATCTAATGGAAAAGCTCTGGGAGATTTTAAGCAGCCAGTTATGTTTAGTGCTCCCAGAAGAGCACACCATTGCAAGCAGCAATCATGAAAGCAAAGAATGCTACTTAGAGGATTCCCATGGTCTCCCAGCAAGAGTGAAGGAACTTGGCAGCAGCTGTAGTAGGTACAGGAAGAGATGGAAAGAACTGAACATTCTGAGATCTATTTTATTGGTAAGAAAAAATATGACGGGATTTGACATACCAGATGTTGAAACAGGGGAGCAGGAAGAATCAAGGAGGGTGCCCAGGGCTTTGGCTCCACTTCCCTTCCTTCAAGTTTGGAAATAGTGTTGCTTGTTTGTAGGTGTGGTTAGAAGACAGCAATGATAATAGTCATAGTGAATATTTATAAGAGACTCGGTAGGTATATCAAGAGCTTTGTATGTATAACTCCATTTGATTCTCAACAACCCTGTAAAGTATGGTCTATCATTATAGCCATGTTACAGAAGAAGAACTGAGGCACAGAAAAATTAAATAACTTTCTAATGGCAACAAAGATAGCAAGTGGCAGAGTAGAAATTAAAATCTGGGCAGTAGCAGTTAAGTTACCTGGAACCCCCACATTCCATACTGGAGTGCCTCAATTCAGATTCCAGCTCTGTTCTTGAGTCTAGCTTCCTGCCAGGGCACACCCCAGGAGGCAGCAAGTGATGGATGGCTCCCTGCAGACTGTGTGGGAGACCTGGATTTGATTCCTGGCTCCTGGCTTTGGTCTGGCCTACCTGCTAGCTGTTGTGAGCATTTGGGTAATGAACCAGCAGATGGAAGATCTTTCTCTGTCTGTCTCTCTTTCAAATAAAATGAAAATAAATAAAGTCAGACTTTGGGCAGTTTGATTCTAGAGTGGATGCCTCACAGTCCCCCTACTCTATACTGCCTCTATGTGCATGAATAAATAAACACACTCACAATTTTCTAAAGTTATCTTGGATTTATTACTGAAGCTAAAGTTGACTTTTCAAATTCTGCTCTTTAGGATCGCACTCACCCACTGCCTGAGCAATTTGGCCTTACTTTTACAGCAGGTAGAAATGAACCTATCTGCTTTGGGAGAGCTGATAAAAATCCAAGCCTAGGAGGCAGTTTCACAATGCCTTTTTATCACCTTCCCATGCTGATCTTTAATCTCTCAGGGAGCCATAAGTGAGCTTGTGTCATTCGTTGTTCTTATGGCTTTCAGAATTCAACACTGGAAGGATTAGCAATATAATAAAATAATAACTATAGCATTAGCAGTTATGTAATGATCTCCTTGATCTGCAGTCCTATTGCAGAAGCTTTACATAACACTGTCTTATTTAATCTTTTCCAAAATCCAGAAACATGTTATCATCACGAGAACACAGAGACTCCGAGATGTTACATAATTTTTTTTCAAGGTTATTGCATGTAAGTGACAGAACCAAGATTTGAATCCGTGGCTTACTTTGATGATGTTCTTTTATTTCAAACATCATCTCTTTCATTAGCAATGAACCTGAAATTGAAGTGTATTGTTATCAGAGGAACGTGTCCCGGGCATGTCAATGAACCTGTAATTGAAGTGTATTGTTACCAGAGGAACGTGTCCCAGGCATGTCAAAAGTAGATGCTTTGCCATATTTCAGGTGATAGAACTGTGTTAAAACTCATATAGATTGCCAATCAAAAATTTCTTTTTTAAAAACCTAAAATTATTCTTATTTTTCCATTTGAAATAATAATGGAAAGTTCCTAAGGAAAGTTTAGATCAACTTTTATGAGAATTAAATACGGAATAGCTGGATTCTTTACTCTTAGTCTTGTTTAGGGTTTTGTTATAGACAATCCACTCTAACTCCTTTAAAACAGAAGGGGATATATTGAAATACATTCAGTGGTTTATAAAACCTGCCGAAGGTGTGGGTGGTTGACTGAGCTTCCAAAACACTCCCAAGCACTCAGACCCGGGTTAAGACCGTTGCAGCCTGTAAGATTTTATAGCCAGTGCCAGAAGCTGTTACTGCTGCCGACTGCAAAATCTTGCCAGCAAAATGCATGCCCAGCATCCAGCCTGTCCTCAAGTATTTCCCTTCCTCGGCAAATCTTTGCAGAGTTGTGCCTGATTGGTGGAGTCCAAGTCTCCTGAGCAGCCCTAGCTCACTGCAGAGCAGTCTGGGAGCTAGGGTTTGTCCCTCTCTAGCGCCTGCAGTACAAGAGGTTGTGCTACAAAGCATTGGGAGTGGGAACTGAGAGAGCCAATCCCCAGAGTCTTCCACACTCACTATGTTTTTCTTTACTCTGAATTAGGAGCATGTAACAGGTAGTCAGTTAACCCAGTGCCATCTTGTATACCTTGGTAGACATCTTTGTTTGTTTTTCCTAATCATATACACACATGAGTTACCTGAAATGATACCAAGTGTTTTTTAAAAATGTGTGGGAAAATGGAATGAAAAAGTAAGTTTAGGGCCAGCATTCTGTCTGGTAAAGCTACCACGTATGACACCAGCCTCCTGTATGGGCACCGGTTGAGTCCTGGCTACTCTGCTTCCTATCCAGCTCCCTGATAATGGCCTGGGAAAAGCAGCAGGAAATGGCCCAAGTGTTTGGGCCCTGCTACCCATGTGGGAAACCCAGATTAAGCTCCTGGCTTTGACCTGGCCCAGTTCTGGCTTTTGTGGCTATCTGGGGAGTGAACTGGTAGATGGAAGATATTTCTGTCTCTCCCTCTCTCTCTGTAACTCTGACTTTCAAATAAATACATACATCTTTTTTAAAAAAGGAAGTTTAATCTGGTTCAAAAAATAGTTTTGAATAGTCAATAGTTTTTTCATATTTGTTTTCTGTGAACTTGAACACAAAGCATATGCATGGATTTCAAAAGTTTGTGCACCAAATAAACTTACCTTTTTTTTTTTTTTTTAATTTTGTTTGACCAGCAGAGAGACAGACAGACAGATATCTTCCATCCACTGGTTCAGTGTCCACATGCCAGCAACAGCTGGGGCTGGGCCAGGCTGCACCCAGGAGCTCTGTACCGAATCCGGGTCTACCACAGTGACAGGGGCCTGAGCACTTCAGCCATAGCCTACTGTGTCCCAGAGTGCACATTACCAGGAAGCTGGAACAAGGAGTGGGGCCCAGACTTGAACCCAGGCACTCTGTGATGGGATACAGGCATCTTCACCACTATACCAAACACTTGCCCCTAAACTTATCTTTGAATTCCATTTTCCTTAAACTTTTTGCATTACTTTCATGTCACATGAAAGGCTTGTTAACCATGCACATTCCTGGGATGCACCCTCAGATGTTTTTATTCTCTGGCTCTCTGGAGTTTGCATTCTAAACTAACGTTTCAAATAATTATACTTTTCATAAGACAGCCAACTCCCCTTGTTACAGCTGGGGCACCATCATTGAAGGGGATGGGGAACTGCAACCATTTGTTCAGTTCAACAAAAGGCAGCTGATGTGTCCAACATGTATCGCATAATCAGGAAAGGCAGTTCTGACCTCTGCGAATCAGGCTTGTCATCTGATGTGACGGAGAACACGATCAAGATTGTGAGTGCTCTTTCAGTTCAGGCCTCCCTAGCATCACTGGTTTTGATGACATTTGGAAACAGTTATAGCAGAGTTTAAAGATTTAGTTCATCTGTTTCATCACATTAACTTTTCTAATAATTAAAAGGCCCTGAGAGACCACACTGCTGCGAGTCTCAGTAGCTGATCTGACACCTACGTCTGAGCACATTTAATTACATCCATGGGGAAAAAAGCACCAGGAGTTGTAGGAACCTCAGGTATTCATTCCCAGAGTCCAGTTGTGGGATCAGAGGCCAACCAGAGCCTACACATTCTCCATCACCGAACTGTTGAGAGTTCAAAAGAGTTTACAGATTTAAAAGACTTACAGTACATTTGGTTTATAGGCGTTCACGCTTTCAGAAGCAAACTGTGCTGTAGGTTTTTGTCACTGGTTTTGGAAAGCCACAGCTCTGAGAGTCCTGAATATCATGGCGGCTCACGTTTAAGAGCAATTAATTGACAGAAGAGGAGCTGAGGTCCATGCAGTACTGAAGATGGGTATGTGGCTTGCAGAACCGTTGTGAATTTGTGCCACGCTTCGGCCCGTGCTGGAAGTTTGTGCTCCTCTTACATGTTTGAAAATACACACAGCAAAAGGAGTCAGCAATAAATCTGTAAGTCTAGGTTCAACATTGAAGTAGCACCCTTCCTTTTTCTCCAGTTTACTTTATTTCATATCACAATCCTCATGAAATTTATTAGAGTTAGTGATTAACTAGCATCTCCCTAAAATAAAGTATATTACACTGTGTGAGGGGATTATTTTTCTTTTTCTGCTTTGTTATGACTGCTATAGAGACATATTTATGAATAGCTAATGGTCTATATATCTTTTTAAAATTTTATGCATGTATTTTATTTTGAGAGGAAGAGAGAGAGAGAGAGAGAGAGAACACAAAAAGCCTCTTGATCTGTTCATTCACTTCCCAAATGTATGCAAGAGCAGGGACTGGGCCAGGCTGAAGCCAGGAGCCAGGTCTCCTACCTGGGTGGCCGGAATCTGCTACCTCCCAAGATGAGCCTTAGCAGGAAGCTGGAGTCGGGAGTGCTGCTGGAATGAAATAATGTATCCTGTGGGAGAAATTCACTTGATTAAAAGTAAATAACAGCAAAGCTTGAACGCTCAGACCCTAGATTCTAAGCTGAGACACTTCTCCCTCCCAGAGATTTTTGCACAGGAGCAAAGCCTCTGAGCTCACCTGGCTCTCATTAACCACAGGTAAGTTGTTCTCAATTTCCAGGCTATTTACACAAAAGAAATGCTTAGTTTATCGTTTTTGCCCTACTCTTTCAAAGCGGTCTTTTCCCTTCTACCTTGACTGAGGTGATCTTTCCAGCCCTTCCAGGTACTCATATTACTCTCTTCTTTAATTTCTCTTTTTTGTCCAATAGTGCACCCGTGAGCTTCCCTCACACTCCTTCATGTCTGGTCCATGCACCATGGTCTGATTTCAGTGCCATCACTCCATCAGGGAGTGCTGCCCTCCTCAAGGTCAACTCCATTAGTGATGCTTCGCTAACCATCACGTTGACATCTTTCAGTGCTGGTTTTGTTCCGTGGACTCTCGCTTTAGTTCATTTTCTGATGGCTGCAGTACCCCGCAATCGACTGACACGCCTTTCTGGTATCAGCTTCTCACATTCCCATCTGCCACGCACTGGCTCATGGGAGCACATCCTCCCGCTACAGTGGTTTCCTGTAAGCTGCTAGGTGGTAACTCCAGACTCCAGCCTCTCCAGCCACCACTTGTCTGCATCTGGTTCAGCGAATAGCACCCCATTTCCAGTCACCCAAGTTAGAACTGAAAGTCATCTGTGACTCTTGCCCTTTCTCCCACCCACTGCTTGTCAGTCCTCAAGACCTCTTGTTCTACTTGCATATCCTCTTGAACTTGGCCCATTTCTCCCCGTTCTCATCCTTTGCTCTGGAGGACTTTGTGCCCTCCCAAGTGGCTCCTGCCCCCCAGGCTTATTGCCCCTGCCCCTTTCCCCACCAATCCCATCATGCATTCTGCATTCTGATGTCTGATAAACCTTTCAAAACTAAATCAGATCTTGACAGTACCCTGCTTAAAATTCCTCAAGGGCTCCATACTGCTTTAAGATAAAATCAAAATCAATTAGCAAAGTTGGGAGGGCCTCTGCATGCCTTTCTAGCCTCCTGCATTTTTGTTTTTTTCTTAAAACTCACTTCCGTGGGCACCTGCTACTTTCTCTATGAGGGGTCTTGTCCCAGCTTCCTTTGACCTGGCCACCTCCTACTCACCTTTGAAGAAACTTCTCCTCCCAGAAGCTGAGCCCCTTTCTATTCCCCTCCGAAGATCACCTCCCAGACTTTCCCTCTTTCAGACAGTCCCAGCTCCCTATGGTCTTCAGTAGTTTGACCTTCTGGGGGCGAATAGCCCTATCCTGCCTGTCTTTATCTTAGATCCTTGTCAGGTCTTGTACGCACGTTTGTTCAGTGTCTCTTGGCATGATGTTGTTAGAAGTCGGAAAGCACCCTATGTTATTTTTTATCAGAAAGAATAACATCACTTTATTTGGGGATCTCTCCCTTCCTCCTGCCTGCGTAACATTTTTAAAAGCTGCAGCCAAGTGCACCGTGGTCCACCTCCACTGCTTGTTCACTTCAGCCTGGTAAGGACTTGCTACTCTGATTTCAATTAGAATCTGACTCAGTGAGAGGTGCCTGCCTGTGTGCCTTCCAACACACAGATATTTTAAATAAAATTTATTAGTTAATTAAATATAAATGAAATCAGTTTAATTATCTCACTAGCCTAGTATTTTTCTTTCCAGTCCCATGGAGGTCATGGCAATGTACTTATCAGGTTGCCATAAGGAAGTTACTTACTTTCTCTAAATCGTGTTTTCTCACCTGTGCGATGGGATAATATCTACCTGGTTGATGGCAGTGCTGCGTGAAATTGTATCTCTAGGTGTGACCCTTACATGTCGATATAGGCTGAGTGACTTCCCCTTTAAGCAGTGTTTACGTGTAAAAGAAGGAGAGACTATCAAAGGGTGGTTTTCCCCCATTTTTTTTAAACAAACTGATTATCTTGAAATCCTTAAATTCTCCTTTTAAGTTGAAGCCATTCTGTGCCTCATTATATGAAACAATTCCTTTCTAGGATGTCCAGTTTTATTCTAAGTTCACCAGATATTTTAGTTAATCACACATAGTGTAAATGTTTTATTTGCTCCACAAAAGGATCTGCATAGAAAGATATAGAATAACTGGAAGATTTTAGTGTAGCTCTTTGGACTTCAAGCTGGTTTGAGTTTCACTGTTATCCTGTTAACACCTGCTTTACTGTTAGCAGTAAGGTTTAAAAAACAAATCTGCTAAATGTTTCTATTGTCCCTTTGCGAATATTGGACAGCCATTAGAAAAGAATTTGGGTCTGCTGTAGTGTGATTAGATATTTTCTATATAATGTTAACAATACGTTTTTAAGCAGAAAAAATGAAAAACATCATACAGAACAAAATGAAAACTCCATTGTTGGTTTATTTCAAGATTATTTTTGAAGGCTATGGTTCAGGCGACCTCAAAAGACCTGAACTCAGGACTAATTACTATACCTGAACCTTGGTAACTTGCTTTCCTGGCTCTGGGTAACTGAGCCCATTGGCTTTCTTCCAAGGCACATTTGGGCTACAAGGGAACTGCCTGCTTCGATAGCTGGCATGCAAGATTAAAGAGAAGATGAATGTTGTTTTTGGCAGCAGCTGCTGTTTTGTTCAGGGCAGTTCTAATACCATTTTGTAGGTCTGTGCATAAAGAACACAAATGACATTGCATCTCCTGTGTGACTTTGTGAAGCCTATAAGTGGACACTGGTAATGTATATCTTAAAATAGCTTCTCACCTACATAGAGGAAATAAGAGCCTTTTTGTTTGTTTGTTTGTTTGAAAAAGAGGCTTTTTCACAAGTTTAGAGCATTGTGATGTTCTGATTTCCTGGACAGCATATGTTCCCCTGAGGTTCTGGCGTTGCGTGTGTGTTAATTTCTACCAAAGGAAAGTCTGCAGTGTGACGGCTATGTTATAACACATGTTGAGATCTGGTAAGTAGGTTCCTGCAGGGGGACATTGCAGCTCCTGTTCTTGGGATGTGGCTTTTTACTGTAAGGAAAGCTCGCTGTTCCACAGGGATTGGTTGGGTGATTGGGTGAATAGTCCATTGGAATCTGCTGATGTTGGTTCTCAACAAAAATAAGAATTAGGTAAGACCTTTGTCTTCCAAGACCCCAGCCTCATCTTGTGACTCTTTTTATCCTCCTTTAAGTACCTTTGCAGTACCATCTGCTGCTCTTAAAACATGCTCCAAGAAACGCACCTGCTATAGCTGTCATTTACAACTGACTATAAATTTTAGTCCCTGTTACTTCTCTCAATCAGGCTTACTTCTATTGCATGCTTTTTCTAACATGCAATGTAGTTTTTTTTTTTATGGTGCATGCAGATTTATCATTGTTTTTTTATCATGTAAATTATTGAAAGGCAACTTTTTTTTAGTATATGTGCTGCCGAATGGAGCACATGAAAGGCAACTTTTATGTGCCTATGTGAAAGGGTTATTGCAACTTTGTGTGCTGTGGGGAGTGTGGAGGACACTTTTGATGCATACCTCTAAAGAAAGGAATCAAGAACTGCCAACAATAAGATTAATGTGTCTGTGCAGTGAAAGGTTATCTTAAAAGAAGAGGTTATCACACAATGAGCGTGACCTAGAGAGAAAAGTCGTACAATCCTAAAACAAAGTAGCCAAAGAAAAATATCATATGCAGATGCAGAGAATGTTACAGCGAAAAAACAGTGTGATGGTTACCCAAACTGAAAAGATACAATTGAGAGCAGAAGTCCCAAACACAGGGACATTTTGCTTCAGCATTTTATCTCTGCGTTGGGATGTCCGTGCGTGTGTGCACACGCCCACGCATGCAGGCACCCGTTTCTTCTTGCTGGAGTTTCCCGAAGTTGGAAAAAGAGGAAGACAGACAGCAAGTGAAGAGAAATATTTTGTTGGTATATTACAACGTTTCACTTATTTGGAAAATCAACTGTTTAGTCACTGAAACTTTTCCAAACATGGTTGAGAACTAAGAAATACATGGACAAAATGTATCTGAATCCCACATCAGTGTGAAAATGCCCTCATACAGAAGAGCATACACTTATTCCATAGTGGACAGCTATTTCACAACAGAATGGTTTAGCGCATAAATACAATTAGAAAAACTGTCAATTGGAAAAACTGAATTAAAAAAAAATAAGGGTCACACCCTTTGTTCATGAAAGATTTACTCTATAAAGTCCGTTCTCAGATGGTTTTATTCAAACATTTCTGAGGCCCTTTTTTCTCCTTGGTTTCCTAGCCAATCCAAAGCTCGTCAATTACCCTCCAAATAATTGCATAGCACTTATAGTTTGAATAGTTTTTCATTTGATTCGCATCACTAGTTCATGAAGTGGACAAGGCAAAGGTTTTTCTTACTCTCATTTGGTAGGCTGATAAACAGAGACTCAGGACATTAACTTGCTTGTTTGAGGTCACATAGTAAGAGGCTGAGACTTTCTAGAAGATCTGTGTTCTGCCCATGGTTTCCAAAAGCATGTTTATTTTTTTTCTTGCCCTTGGAAACCATTGTTCCAACAGAATCTTACTGAGCATCATGAACAAAAAAAAAAAAAAAAAAAAAAGACTGTGCTTAAAATAGAGGTTGAGGACCAAGAATTCCATTAGGGACAGTTCACATTCCTCACCCAAAAGGGCTTGAATCCACTAGAGTATACCATTCATATACTACTAATTGGCTCATCAGAAAGTATGGTTAATGATCTCTGTTTTATTTTTCTATTGCTTCAAATTACCACAATTTAGTGACTAAAGACAGTACACATTTGTTATATTATGGTGTGGGGTACCAGTCATCCAAAGTATGGTGTAGTTGGCCAAAATCAAATTGTCAGTGAGCTATCCTCTACCAAAGGCCCTAGAGGAGAATCTGTTTCCTTTCCTATTCCAACTTCTAGAAGCCACCTCCATGTTTAATGGCAGCAA